ATCAGATGGAAAGGCCTCCATTTCATGCGGCCTGCAGCCTTGCATGGCACAGCCCTACGGGATTTGGGTGCGGCAGCACAGACAAGAGGTTCGTTCGTTCGCCGGGGAGCAGTGCCCGTTGGACGGCGATGACGATGGCCTCGTCATCAACTTGTGCGTGTATGTATGTATACGTGTGTGCGTGCGCTGCTCGACTTACACAATGTGTGTACCTATGCAGTTGACCTGGGCATGTACCCGTACGAACACATACCGAACTCGGTGCAGCAGGATGGAGTGGGATCTGGCAATAGTGCCCGGCGTTGTTTCATCCTTGTCGTCGTCTGTGTCCCAGCGCCAACTCACGCCAACACGCCTGGCTACCCTGCACATGTAATTCATAGACAGGACGAATATGGAATTGGATTCGAAGCCATCATCATATGGTGGAAGCACCTTGACCAACGACCCCCCAACGACCCCCCAACACTCCCCCCAGGGCGGCGCAGCAACCCGGTGCCCGCTCCCTTGCCTTGGGCCTTGGTCACGCCCGACAAGGGACACAGCCGGGCTGTGAGCAGTTCAATCCTGTTGGTATGGTGTATGCGGTGCTGTATTCCTCCGGCGGAGCAGTTCATGACAAAGCATACGGAGTTACAAGCAGACAGACAGCACAGCTGGGAGTGATGGGTTGCCGCTCCCGAGTCATTGCTTACTCGTACGAGTAGCCTGTCAACGTACGAGCGCGTCTCTCGGAATGCAGTTCAAGGCTCCAGACCCGACTGGCCATTGTCAACATGAACCCAATACGACTTAAATTTCAATTGCAGGGCGCGGCACGGCATCCGGCTGGGTTCCTGAGCCTGAGCCTTGCCTGTGCCTTGCCTGTCCTTGCCCTGTCCTGCCCTGTCCTGTCCAGGGCATGGCCATTATTACATGTACAGTATCTTCCTTCGCCCGCGCTTATACATCATACTGTACATAATACAAGCCAGGTATTGTCATTTACTCGAACATCAATTACATGCCGTCTCCTGCGGGCGATCCCACGGCGCCGGGGCAACGCAGCCGGGCTTCCGCGACTTCGAGTTGTGAGTGCACGGGCCGATCCGCCAGAACCATTCAGCCGGATACTCGTGCAGTTGCCGTTGCAGTTGCAAAGTCGCAGCAGCTTCGTCGCTATTGATCTCTTCGAGCCAGCACGGCCGTGACCCTATTTGCCGTCAATGGACGCGGATTAATCATCACCACGAAAGGCTTTGCTGCACTTCTCTCTTCTCTCTCTTTCTTTCCGTCCGTCTCCCGCTTTCTCTTCTTGTAATCCCCTCATGGCTCATTTACTCGCCGCTCGGCAACTTCCCCTTTGGACGCCTTTGCTCGAGTCCCATGATCATGATGCTCTCACGTCTTTTGACGCAAGGAAATTTGATACGCTCGAATGCTACTCACACCAGTACATGTATGTACCCTTACATTCACGTCTTGACTGCTTGCAGCATCAGATAAAGGCGCATATAATAATGGATGTGCTGTAGTTGCTAGCATCAGTACAGTGGCGTCCTGTTGGCCCTTGGCCGTGATGAGCCCTTGCAGGTGGGCTATGGGTCTTTTTATCCAAACGAGCACAGGCATCACCCTGACCTGACCACGCCCACGCCCGGGATTGACAGTTTCTGCCCCTGGCCATATCGTCCATGGGGCTATGTATGTATGTACAGTGTCGTGATGGTGCTAGTGCTCGCATGGGGAAACGCCATGTACCTACTTGCTGGGTATAGTATGCGAGTATTATAAGCCTGCAAGCAACCCCCCCTGGCTCACTCACAGCTAACCCTGACCATGACAGATCCCGGATTCAGCAAAGCGTCGAGGCCGACAACCCACGGCAGCGTTGTAGCGCAGTTGATCCCCACGTGGAAGAGAGAGGCTCATGTTGCGGCTTGCACTGGCACCCGCTTTGGACTGTTGTCTTTACAGTAGGACCGTCATCCTGGGAAGGTGAGCGAATACTACTTGGCATACGGAGTATACGCTCTCACTTGGGACCGGAGACTATCTTACCCGAACCTCCGGCCCGGCCACGGGAAAGTTTTCAAAGTTGCTACGATGACTGCCCTGTGCTCGTATGTACCGCTTCCTGCAAGGATCTTCACCAAGAGGGAGGGCACGGAACAGCAGTCTACGGGATATTCGGGCTACTTCCAGGCTGTCCTGCCCATCAAATCTGCTGATGGCCCTGTAATATTGGAAAATCAGCACATGGGGGGGCTGTTCAAGAAGGGGGGGTGGGAGGGAGGGAGCACAGGGTGGTCGGGAACTCAACAACTCGTCTTGAATTGTTCCGACTCGCCCGCGCAATTGTGATCTCGCCCATCACGTAAGCGCCAGATCTCGCTCGCAGTACCGGGCGCTCAAGATGAGCCCGATATTGCGCTGGATTGCTAAGGATCGACGCGAGGCGTCAAAGGGGAATTTCTGCCCACTTGGGCCATTTCCTGGCGGCATGCGGTGGGAGGCGAGGCATCGGCAAACCAAAGGGGAGATGGGAGATGTGCCCGGTACGGAGTTTGTGTCGATCCAGCAGAGTGTGAGATTCCTTGCCACACATCATCACATCGAGCAGCCTATTTCTCCATCTTGCATGTACGAGTGTACGAGTATACACCACCAGCTGCAGCCTACTCCACACTGCGCGACTTGAACGGACCGAAGCCGTTTATCTCTTTCCCCTGATTAGGAGGACAAAGGAAGGTCAGTTCGACAGATGCTACGATACTCCCATCGTCATGGGTACGGGTGCAGCGTCACAACGAGAAGCACCGTCAATCTGGCTGCCGGAGCCGGACCGTTCTCTCCAGGAGCCCCATGACTCGTGCCATGCCGTACGCTTTTGTTTGGGGAACCGTATACTTGTACATTGGTGAGACGACGATGGTTGCGGAATCTGCCGTGTCAAAGGACACTCTGGCCATCTGCCCCAGCAAGCATGGCCAGCATCTTGGACGTGGTCACGGGCCAGTCCATTTCTTTGTGCCATCAAGGTACGCCGAACAATGCTACTACAGCTATGACTCCGTCATCGGTATCTCCCCCCCATATCTCCTCCCAATGGCACGGAGTCGGCTCTTCGGCTGTCATTGGCCTCACTTTTGTTGTCTGTGCTTCCTTCAAACTTACCGAATGCTAGGACCACGAGGCCCGTGTGTCTCCCCTCCTTCTCCTCCACCCCCCCTAGCACGGAATATTGCCAGAGGTCTGGGGCATCGAGGGGGGGTTGTAAGACGCGTCTTTTTCTCTCTCCTCTATCTGTTGGCTTACAGGTATAATTGCCGAAAGGAGTCTATACTTACCACAAAGAGGAAAAAAAGAGTCGTAGAGTACTCAATCCACCTTGAGACGATCAAGGGATATAGTGGAACCGTGTGATGCTCCTCGTGGAATCGTTTCAAGAGCCTCTTGGCATATGCCATGCCCTCGACAATCTGGCAATAGTCTCACGCATAAGTGGTGCCGCGGTCCCTGCGTGGGATGATATATCCTGCTAGTAATTGCAATCACATTTCGGGGGGCGTTACCGGCAAAGAGCACGCAGCTGGTGGGGAGCCACTAGTATCTGACTTTATTTCTCTGCTGCTCTGGGATAAGTGCCGCATGAACAGGGGGATGAGGCTCTTTTCTCTTCGAAATTGGAATGATTGAATCGCCTTTTGCTTCAAAGCGTGTCGTGCCCTTGCAGGCGTGAGAAAATGGGGCCATTTTAATCCCGGAAGGTGATCATTACTGACCCTTTTTGAGGCAAAAGGAAACGGGGCCCCTTCGACAAACGACACGCCGTCGCATATTTGGAAGGGTTAGGGGGGAGGGGGGGCGTTTTGATAGAGAGAAAAAGACGTGAGCGTCCCTGAAATTACATACATGGCGGTGGGCGCTTGTATGAGCCGTATGAGATTTCCGCGAGAAGCTAAAAGAGCGATGGCTTGGCTGCTGTGCCGTGTTTGCTGCTCGGATGGGGAATAGACTGAGATGACATCTCGTATTCTATAATGATCGACGCTTTGCGTATTTGGGCTAGATGCGCATTTTGCTCACTTACAGAAACAGAGTCGGACTGCATGTAAAAGGGCGATCCTGGTAGGAGCTAGCTTCGCCCAACTAACATGGCCTGCAAGGGTCCGATTCAACGACAGTTGAGCGACAAGGCGGAAGCGTTCCGCAAAAGGCACTTCTGTCGTTTGAAGGATCGATCGAAATAGGAATGACGAGGACAGCGATGATTACTTTTGGGGGGGGGGGGGGGGGGGGGGGGGGGGGGGGGGGGGGGGGGGGGGGGGGGGGGGGGGGGGGGGGGGGGGGGGGGGGGGGGGGG